ATACTTACATAATTGACATAATTACTATAGAAGTTAAGTCAATTATTGATAATTTCGCACAATTAATAGAACTGAATGCGTTTTCATCAAAAAATCCACTTGCAATAAATAATTATTACACTTTTCACGGAAAAATGAAAAATTTTGGTTATATAATTTGACAGGTGTCAAGAAAAAATTGACATTAGAAAATTGACAGATAGAATTACAAAATGAGNNATTTTCTATATAAGATAAATGGAAATTTTAATTTTTGGTTATATAATTGACAGATGTCAAAAAAAAATTAGAAACGTCATACTTAGATAATTGACATAATTACTATAGAAGTTAAGTCAATTACTGATAATTTCGCACAATTAATAGAACTGAATGCGTTTTTATCAAAAAAATCCACTTGCTATAAATAATTATTACACTTTTCATGGAGAAATGAAAAATTTTGGTTATATAATTGACAGATGTCAAAAAAAATTAGAAACGTCATACTTACATAATTGACATAATTACTATAGAAGTTAAGTCAATTACTGATAATTTCACACAATTAATAGAACTGAATGCGTTTTCATCAAAAAATCCACTTGCTATAAATAATTATTACACTTTTCGTGGAGAAATTAAAAATTTTGGTTATATAATTTGACAGGTGTCAAGAAAAAATTGACATTAGAAAATTGACAGATAGAATTACAAAATAAGTGGAGACTATATTGATCATTTCACAGAATTCACCCGAACCGAAATCATCCACATTGAAATGTTCACTTGCTACAAATCATTTTCTATATAAGATAAATGGAAATTTTAATATTTGGTTATATAATTGACAGATGTCAAAAAAAAAATTAGAAACGTCATACTTACATAATTGACATAATTACTATAGAAGTTAAGTCAATTACTGATAATTTCACACCATTAATAGAACTGAATGCGTTTTCATCAAAAAATCCACTTGCTATAAATAATTATTACACTTTTCATGGAGAAATGAAAAATTTTGGTTATATAATTTGACAGGTGTCAAGAAAAAATTGACATTAGAAAATTGACAGATGGAATTACGAAATGAATGGAGACTATTTTGAGTGATCTTAAACGCCGAACGTTCTAATTACTTCAAACGAAGAAGACGAAAACCCCGAAGATCAATATTTGCTCGAGGGCACAAGAGTAAACTAATATTAAACTTAAATGAAGGAAAAAGTATATATTTGAGAGAGGGTGAGATAGTCTAATCGGTCGTTTAGCAAACAAACATTTTCGATCCAAACATGTTGCTATTTTTCTTTTCATTCTGTCTTTTGTCACCGGATGTACCTGGTCTGTTGGTTGCGTTTAATTATGCACCGCCACCCCTCATGTTATGAGCGCGACTGCTTTCGTATGTCTGCAGGGGTTGCGAGGAGGATCGCAGACTGAGAGAGAGAGAGAGTGAGAGACGGGTCATTCTGTTGGACTAACAAAGTCAAATATTTGAACAAAACCGAAACCATCGTCCTCGTCGGAGGTTATGCAAGTTTGCCCAAAACCAAATTAA